GATTCAGAGCAGCTTCCATAATGAGAAGTTTGCAAGCCGTAATTTTTATTCAAAGTACATTATGGTTCCTAATGGAGTTTCGTGATACGATGTGGACGTTTCGTGCACGCAATTGTATTTTTATATTATGTTCTTAAGAGTACTAGTCCTATAGTCAAAACTAATATCTCACTTACAAACAATACAAAAAATTCTGAACGAGTTGTACTTCAAACTATTAAAAAAACCGACCAAGGTTTAATAAAACATAAAGTGCATTAAATAATCAATACTTTAAGTTTAGGCTAGAATATGTAATGTGATAGATCTTGCGTTAAGAAGAAACTTTAATATGCAGATTGGAAATGCGAGTTACCTTGTATTTCGACAAACTGAATACCAGAGTCGATTATGGATTTTAATCTTAGTTTTCATCAAGTATTGCCCTATCTCTCTGTTTCGTATGCGAGCCATGATTTCTACTGAAGATATAACTTAAGAAGAGCCGGTTATGTGTTGTGGTCATAAAGTTTTTATCGAAAAAAATGGTTTCAGTTTCTCAGAAGTAACTGCAATTTTTTAAAAGAATAAAAACTACTTTGTAATCAATAAACCCGAATTTGTTCTATTATGAAATCTCTTTGTAAATCTTCCCCGGTCGGGTATCGGTAAGTTTACGGACTTATAAACGCCAAAATCCGGGGTTCGATTCCTCGCGAGGGCTAGAGGGGGCATATACTCTACTGTGTAGCTGAAAGCAAACAAACTAACCAACATTAAACTTAGAAAACCTTGGAACGTGTGTGTGTTTTTATGAGGTCTGAATGAAAACCTTGGAATGTGTGTGTGTTTTTATGAGGTCTGAATGAAAACCTTGGAATGTGTGTGTGTGCTTCTATGAGGTCTGAATGAAACCTTTAAAACGAAAGTTATTCAAAAATTATAGTTAGGGTTTTATATTGTTTGTAGTCAGTTCCCCGATGGGTTACGGTAAATTTCCGGACATACAATCCTAAAATCCGAGTTTCGAATTTCCGTCCTGAACAGGTCGGCTATTGTGTAGCTTTGCGCTAACAAACCACCACCAACTTATTTGTAATGTTTTAGGAGCTCTTGAATGTCATTTAAAACAAACAAACAACAAAAAACATCTAAGTATAAAAAACGAAATGTTTTGTAGTGTTTTAAATAGAGTAGATACAGTAACACACCGCTATATGATTCTTTTTAGCTGTATTTTAAATGTTCTTGCTTGTTTTGAATATTAGCGCAAAGTTACACAAGGGCTATTTGCGCTAGCCGTCCTTAAATTTGAACTGATAACACTGGGTCACTAAAGGAAAACCATCAAGTCAAAAGCACTCCTCGCCAACTCAAATAGTGGGATTTGACCGTGATACCTATAACGCACATATCGCTCCAGAGAGCGCATCGCGATAACAGAGCGCGAACCATAAACCCTTGGATCTACAAATCGATTCGCTAGCCAATAGACCACTCCCAACTCACTTTACTTGCGAGTAGAAAGATATTAAGATTGGATTGTAAGAATTAGCATATCGGTGTAAACCTCTTATTTTTAATGTTACCATACCCCTAAAAATCTAGTAAAAACGACCTATGCTTTAAATATTATCATATCGATTTAAAAATAATAATGCTGAGCTTGAAAAATTATCCTAACCTAGAAAGGTTAGATTTTAAATGTTATCAGTAGAACACTAATAGGACTACACTATTAATTAAATGTTAGCACACCAGTGAAAACCACATTACTAGAAGAAACTGTGTTTTATATGATAACTTAATAGTGTAAGCTTAAATAAGAATGTGTATTGAATATTATTATTATCACACTAAACCACATTACTAGAATAAACTGTGTTTTATATGATAACTTATTAGTGTACGCTTAAATAAGAATGTGTATTGAATATTATTATAACACTAAACCACATTACTTGAAGAACTGTTTATATGATAACTCAATAGTGTACGCTTAAATAAGAATGTGTATTGAATATTATTATCACACTAAACCACATTACTTGAAGAACTGTTTATATGATAACTCAATAGTGTAAGCTTAAATAAGAATGTGTATTGAATATTATTATAACACTAAACCACATTACTTGAAGAACTGTTTATATGATAACTCAATAGTGTAAGCTTAAATAAGAATGTGTATTGAATATTATTATAACACTAAACCACATTACTTGAAGAAACTGTTTTATATGCTATTACCTCAGCTAGA